CTCCACCCCACTCCTGCCTCTGCCCCCAGGCCTTCACAGCTCTATTGTCTGCCCATGGGTTATACATATATGCAGTAAGTTCTTCCTCTGGCTTTAAGTCTCTATTCAAATGTCACCTAATAAGAGAAGCCTTCCTTGACCTCTATATTTAAACCTTCTACCTACTTACTGTCCTCTTTCCCTCTTAGCCTTTTTTTGTTGCTCTCCATAGTACTTATTACCATCCGACAATGACTTGTTTATTGTTTCCACCCGCTACAAAGTAAAGTCCATGCGGGCGTGGACCTTTGGGGCTTGTTTTGATGCCCCCATAGTCCCTGTCTGAGGGGCTACAGTGTCCACCAGCCGCTGCCGGTGCCCTTAGGAGCTGAGCTTCCTTCAGGTTCCAGGTCTGGAGAGTTGCAAAGCTCCTCCTTCGGGAACTCAGGGGGCGGGGCAGCGTAGTCTCTTTCCAGGGATTTCCCCCTTTGCCTGCATTCCAAGGTCCTCAGTTCCACGGTTCTACCGGACCCTAAAGCATGGAAGAACAGAGCTTTGCGAATTAGTGAAAATGAACAAATGTAGACGTAGGAAAAAAGACGTAGGAAAAAAGACGACTGGAAGCCAGGGTCCCTGAGCAGTTTGGATGCTACATTTTCCCACCAAGTTTTTGACGGCAGGCTAGAGGCACCTGTCCACTCGTGGGGAAGCAAAGATTGCTCCCAGCTGTATCCAGACTCTTCATTTTCTTTCTACTCCTTCCCTCCTTTCACCTGCAGCCCAGCACACACACACCCCAACCACCCCAACCCCCATCCGCTTTCCAGGAAAATAAATCTCTGGGAGGAGGCTGGGAGAGTGGATCTCGGGAAAACCCTTCTGAATAAATGTCTATATTAATGAATTATTAACTCAGCCACCCATGACCTTAAACCTAGAAGCCAGAGAGGAGCGCTGTTGAATCCTTTATTGGAGTCCTGTCAAAGGCAACCGACCATTTGTTCCCCTCCTCCAGCAGGAAGGAAAATATAATTAATATGAAAGGCAAACGTGAAGATTGTGTGTCAAACGAAATCAGATAGAGGGTCTCCCGGACAGAACCCTCTTCTAGCTCGCCTGCTCCTTCCGGTCCCTCCCTCCCAGCTCTGACCTCCAGCTCCCGCCTTCCCTCCCCGCTGAGGGTACCATGGGCTTCCTAAGGATAATTTTCGGGGGGAGTGGGGGGAAGGAATTGCTCGAGAAAATGATGAATTTAGGTAGTTAATTTATCGATCCCGGCGCCTCTTCCCACTTGTTTTATTTTAGAGGTCATTAATCAATGAAGAAAAACACCACCGTGTCCCCCCGTTTGCATTTAATACACTCACGCTCCTTACTTATTCCTCTGGAACAAATTCCCAGCAAATATTCACTCATCGATTGGGGAGCGATGGGTTTTTATAAAGGTTTGATCGCTTCCTGAGTGGTCGAAGTGATTTGTTTCCGCGGTCTCACTCTAAGGAATGAAGAGGCGAGCAGATTTGAGGGGTGCATGTCCTGATGGTCCGTGGGCTCACTTCCTAAGAACTCCTGGGACTGCCAGGGCGGCGGTGACCAAGCCAGCCCGGGATCGGCGGGGTGAGTGGGCTGCGTCCTGGGCAGATCGCTGCCGTGCGGGGCGGGGTGGGGGAAGAGAGCGCAGAACCCCGTCCCCGCCAAACCCCGCTGCCTCTTGGAGTCACAGTGGGAGCAGCGGCTACTGGAAAGGCGCCGAGGATGCTCGGATCCCCGCTACACCCCCTCCACAGCTTCCTTGTTCGTGCGCCCCGGATTCCGGCCTTCTGAGCGCCCAGTAGAACTTTGGCCCACCTCCTGCACACGGGCTCCCTAAGGCCTCCGGTCTCCGCGAGACCCGCTTCTGCCAGGGGCCACGGGGGTCCTGGACCTGGCGGTTCTGGAACACCACACACAGGCATAGTGGGCAAAGGAGGCCCCGCTACAGCCTCTTCTCCAGCCAAAAGGGGAGCCAAAGCTCCCCCAAGGTGCCTCCAGACCCCTCTGGCGTCTGTCCGGACGGCGAGGGTGGAGGCTTGGCGAGGGTGAGCAGGAAAACGTACTTGGCGCCTCCCTGACCGGGGTTTGAGTCCGCCTCCATCGCTCATTAGTGGGGTGACTGAGGGAAGCTCCCTAACCTTTCTGAGCCTCGGTGCCCCCCGCTGCCGTGTTGGGGTGAATGATAGCGCCTCCTCCCCGTGGCTGGGCAGATACACGCACTTGAAGCGCCTACCCGCGCCCAGCACGTGGGAAGCGCTCACGAACCGAACCGCTAAATTTATTCCGAAGGACCCCGGGGCTTCCCACAGCGTGGGCGGCATGAGGCCTCGGAAGCAGTTGCTGTCACTAGTTTCTCAAAGTCCCGAGCTTTTCAAGTGTGTTTGGGGGTGGACAGTCCTGGGGGCCGAGCGCTTGTACACAGCCGGCTTGGGCAGAAACAATTAGGCGGCGGGGCTGCCCGAGAGTCTAAGCCCATCTCGGTGCTCCCGTCTGTCCCGGAGAACAGAAGAGTGTCTTCGTTTCTCAGCAGTGAACCCGGAGAGTGCGAGAAAGAGGGCTTGCCCCTGCTCTCGTGGCCCAACAGCCACTGCGCGGCAGTTCTGCGAGCAGATCCATTGAAACGGGCCTGGACCTTCATCCTCTCCTTCCGATGAAGCTGTTCACAGCCCGTGGAGCCCGCCTGGTGCGCCTCTGTGTCCACAGCACCGTGGGTTTTCCCTCGCGGGGCCTGCCTTACACTTGGGAACCATCACTCTATCCAGGGATGACTGATGACCTTGTCACTACGACGCCAGTCAAAACATTTTCGGTCCCACCCTGTTCCAACCAGCATCGAGGCATCTTGCGTGAGACCCGGACAAAGTCTAAACAACGCGTTTCCCAGGCTCAGACGACGCGAGTGTAGGCAGACAAAAAGAGACAAGCAGAAGGCAGGAAAGTGTGACTAGTAATTGCTTAGAGTGGCGGGTGTTAGACAAGTTGGTGTGTTTGGACAAAGACAAATGTCATTTCTCTGAGGTGTGTACAGAGCTCCAGCGACGGGAAAGCGCACGAGCGGGCCACTTTCACACACCCTGCCCTCGCCCACCGAGTGCTGCGACTGCCTGGAAGAGCTGGGCGCGCGCGCGTGCGTATATGTGTGTGTGTGTGTGTGTGTGTGTCTGCACAGGGATGGGCGGGCGTGGCCCAAGGCGCTGGGTGGGCAGGGCGGCGGGTTGGGGCTGTGCTTCCACGCTGCCCCTCCGCCCGCTAGGTTTTGGGACTAGAGACCTATACCTGACCCCCCAGCCTCCACCCCCGCCATCCGTGGCACCCAGAGGAGGACAAGCCTCGCCTGTCCGGGAGCAGTTGTAATAGACACAGCTCTGGATACTTGCCTCAGATCCAGCAAGGAGATGGAGCGAGACCCCCAGGAAGACAGCTCGAGAGCGTGAGTGGGCTGAGCGCTGGGCACGTGGGGCTCCATCCATTCAGCCGCCTTCTAGGCCAGCGGCCAGCCCTGCAGGACCAGCCGCCCTTTAGAGACCCACGATCTCTCGTATCCCAGCTCTACAAAGCCTGCCTCCGCCGCTGGGGACTGAGGCTCATTCCGGCGCGCGACCCGCCCCGCCCCCAACTCCCCCTCCTGCCCCCACCCCCCACCCTCCGGGTTTGTGTGAGAAGTCGCGCAGCGGGCTGGTCGAGGCTGTACTCCTCTGCAAACGGGGCCCGGCAAAAGCTCAAACCCCGTCCCGGGAACTGGTTCACTTGCCCGGCCGGACCCGCCTCCCGGACGTGGACTCCCGCGCGTGTGCGGAGGTGCATTCCGGTCTCCGCATGCCCACTGTTTTCTCCATCAGGGCAGAGAGCCGGTACCTAGAAAAGATCTATCATGGGCAGAAAGAGACAACAGGCGCGCGGGAGACGTCACGCAAAAAAAAAAAAAAAAAAAAAAAAAGTCGGGGGTGGGACAGCAGAGGAGGTATTAGTGCGGGAAAGGCGCACGGGCAATTTGTGGATCCAGCCGAGTTAGAACTTCCTTCTTCCCTCCCCTTCGTTCTTCTGGCCTGCCTCCCGCCTCTTCCCCCCCATCCCACCCCTCCCCCCTGCCACCCCATCTCTCCCTCTCTTCTCTCTCCCTCTCTCTCTCTCTCTCTCTCTCACACACACACACACACACACACACACACACACACACACACACACGCTTGTATTTTGTGCTGTCGTAAAACCCACGTGTCCAGCCAGGAGGCTGCCAGAGCGCGGAGCCAAGGAGCCCGGACGCAGCGGCCGAGCGCAACAACCCACCGCGACTCTGCCCAACGCCCGGGTCCGCTCGCGCTCCCGCGCCCTCCGCGGGCCTCCGTAGCCCGTGCTCGCGGCCGGATCTCAGGTCTCTCCTCCCGCGCTGCCGAGGGCATGTAGCGCCCCCGGGGTGCACACGCTCTCGCACGGTCCCGAGACACACGCGCCCACGCACCCGCCGCCGGCGGCTCCGAGTTTTCAGGTAAGACGAGGCTCCTCTGGGGCTGAGTGTCTGGGGCCCCCGGGATAGGAGGCTGGAGGTCCCGGGGGGGGGGGGGGGGGGCGGAGGGCGCGGCTGACCCGCCTCCTAGCGCCGGGGCCCCAAGCGGCTCGGGCGCTGCGCCACTCCGGCCGGGGTCGGCCGAGGGTGGGGGCTGCGTCCTGCAGCCGAGTTCCGCGGGGAAGCGCCTGCGCTCCGGGCTTCGACAGCGCAGGGTGGGAGCTCGGCGCCTCTGGCTGCGAGGCCAGGCAGCGTGGACACAGCTCCCACCGCGCGGCGCGGCAGCTTCAGAGTAAACTTTGCGCCCCAGCGGAGTTGGGAGGAAGGAGCCGCCGAAGCGCGCTGCTCCTGGCCAAGCCAAGGGCTGCGGCTCCCGCTCCAGGGTCTCGGCGGCTGTCCCGCCCGCCCCTCTCGCGCCAGGCCCGGGGCCCGGCTCACACGCACCCTCCTCTCTGCCCTCTGCCCCCAGCGTGAGGCGTCGGACATGCTGAAGCCCGGAGACCCCGGCGGCTCGGCCTTCCTCAAAGTGGACCCAGCCTATCTGCAGCACTGGCAGCAACTGTTCCCGCACGGCGGCGGCGGGGGCCCGCTCAAGGGCGGCGGGGCCGCGGGGCCCCTGGGCGCGCCGCAGCCTCTCCAGCCGCCGCCGCCGCCCCCTGAGCGCGCGGAGCCTCCGCCGGACAGCCTGCGCCCGCGGCCCGCCTCGCTCTCCTCCGCTGCCTCCACCCCGGCTTCCTCCTCCACCTCGGCCTCCTCCGCCTCCTCCTGCGCCGCCGCCGCCGCCGCCGCCGCCGCCGCGCTGGCGGGTCTCTCGGCCCTGCCCGTGGCGCAGCTGCCCGTGTTCGCCCCCCTGGCCGCCGCCGTCGCCGCGGAGCCGCTGCCCCCCAAGGACCTGTGCCTGGGCGCCGCCTCGGGCCCGGGGCCCTCCAAGTGCGGCGGCGGCGGGGACGGCCGGGGCGCCCCGCGCTTCCGCTGCAGCGCGGAGGAGCTGGACTATTACCTGTACGGCCAGCAGCGCATGGAGATCATCCCGCTCAACCAGCACACCAGCGACCCCAACAACCGTACGTAGCCGCAGCCCGCGCGCTCTCTCCTGTGGCGCTGGCGCCGTCCAGGGAGGGCGCCCGTCGGGGAGGCGGGTCGACCCGGACGAGAGGGACCCCGGGTGGTGGACTGGTCCCGGCAGCGGGCCCGCACCTCCCAGAGCACAGTGGCAAAGGTTTTCTGGCATTAGAGAAGGAAGGAGAACGCGTGGGGCTCCCGGCTGGCACCTCGGGGTTACCTCTTCCCCTCCGCTCATCCTCTGCTCCGCAGCCCCAAGGCTGTAGGACTCGAGTCGCCTGCCGGCCCGGGCTTTCAGATCTCCGCCCTCCCGCGGGACGGGGCCCGGGACGGCCGGCTCCAGGCAGCGCGCGACGGGGAGTCCCGAGAACCGGCTGGCCTGGCCCTGGGGATGGGTGGGGAGGGGGACAAGATAGGGACGCAGAGTTCCTGGGGAGCGTGGATTCCAGGGCTTGCTTCTCCTCTCTACCCTACTTCTGGGCTTAACTGTCCGTTCGTTCCGGGCTGCAGGGTTGTCCAGGACTCTAGGGGAACGGCCGGGCGCTGCTGGCTGGCCTGGCCTCGCGGGACCAGGAGTTTTGGATAATTCTGGGTCAGTTTCTCCAGCAGGCAGGCATTATTCTTAGGTCTACCATTTATTTAGAAAAGTAAATGCCAGCTGCTTCGTGAGAAATTTTCCGTCTTCAGGATAGAGTTGTTCCCTGCGGATCCCACATTCTCCTTGCATCCTTGACCCCTTCAAACGTTCGCAGTCCGTAGCCACGTTTGATGGCTTGGCTATTTGTAAAAATGGGGCGACAGTAATTTAGTTTAAGAAGCTTACTCTCCTTGTCCCCCAAGTATATAGTAAATACTTAGTTAAACTTCAGGTCTCGTCCAGCTTCGGTTCCTATGTTCATAATTTCCAACGCTCGTCACAAGTGTGGTTCCATTTTGAGGTTTTGAAGCAAGACTCCCAGTGAAGACCACGAATGTGTATTGCTTTGTCTCTGATCCTTTTTGGTAACTTCGAAAGTTGTGCTATGTTTACACCTAACGCGTTAAGTACTAAATACACCTCCAGAGACCTCTGGAGAGAACATTAAATCAGGTTCAGAGTCAGGTTGAAAGCAATACAGGATTTGAAAGATCAGCACTTACCGTTTTCTTCCTTTCGCTCCTTCATCTAGCTTCTGTGTGAGGATCATAAACATTTGTTGTTATTCTGTTTTTAATAAGTCCCTTCTTGCAGAATGGCTACCATCCCGTGACCTTTTTCATTCGTTGTAAAACAAAATACCTCCAGGTTATAATTATTTGAAGGGCTCCCAGAGTCATTACTTTGATGAAAAAGCATGAGGCATGAGCCTAGTGGTTAAGTTGTATTAATCTTTTCATAATGGTGGGAGGTAGTTGTTCTAATGGAGATAATTATTACTAACAAAGAGAGCAGTACTTACTTTTTTTCCGTTGTAGAATCTGAAGGTAAAGTGCTGGTTTAAAAGGACGGTTTCCACTCGGATTTGTTCTGCAGTTAAGAAGATGCTTGCATTTCAGAGTTGCAGAAAATATGTAAAAATTGTATTGTCTTAATGGGTTTTTAAAAACACTTCTCTCCTACTGGATTTGCATGTGTTGTTTACAAAGCATTTTTTAAAATGTGAAATAAAAAGATTATTCTTTGGGAAAGGCATTCCTTACTGCTAAGTGTAAGTGTAGTCACTGTGGACTGATAGTGCTTCATCCTGCCTGCAGTTTCTCTTCTGAATGAAAACAGTGCCGGAAAAGACGCCAGCAGCGTGCCCCACCGCCCTGGCTGTGTGTTGAGCTTCCTATACTGTTTACAAGGCCATCTTGAGATTCACTATATTCTCACCAGAGAAAGAATTGGGTTAGATTCCTAATTAATATATGGTTCTTTGAATCACTTTATTGCCTAGGCAACTTTTTCCCTCTGGTTGGAGGAAAGGAAGTATGACTTATTTAAATTATTTCTATTGTGTTAGTCTTTGGGTATATCCTTTTGAGTCTAATGGATTGCTTTAATATGCAAAGTGCATAAGAAAGACGAAGGGGAAAGGAAGTCAGATCGTCCTATTAGAGTTACACTTCATGTTGCTCCCTAATTAAAGGGCAGTTGAGAAAGAAAATAGCGGAGGTAGCTCTGTGTAATGAGGCAAGCGGAGGCATTCATTTTAAACCAGAGGATGTGTTTTACAAAGGGGAAGTGGGAAGTGATTGAGTTTAATCTAACTAGGGGCTCAAAAATCAGAAATGCAAAGGATGGGGAACTTTCCCTGGGCAGGGGAAGTCGGTGTATTTGTTACTTGAAAGAGGGTTGAAAACCAGAGCTCTCACCCTTCCCAGGTTGTATTTGGGTGGGTGCGGGGGTGGGGGAAGTGAGAGGCAGGCCAACGGGAAACACCTATTAATTTATGACGTAGAGAGATCCCCAGTTTTCCTTTCCGTCTTTTGCTGTTTTCTAAAAGAACTCTGTGAAGAGACCACTCAGCAGTGCTTCATTTTGTAACTTTGCATTGAGTAATTTTTCTCTTTTTCTTACAAGGCAAAGAAAGGGACCCCCTCACTTCTCTATTCCCTACAGAAGAGTAACTTTTTTGCCTGGGATCCGCAACCCAGTAAAGCCTGTGAATCAGTAACAGTAGTCTCACCTTGAAACTTGATTGGCATCTATAGCAAATGCCAGAGCGAAAGGTCTTCTAGCTCTCTTTCCCACAAAAAAAGATTAAAAAACAGCAGAAACCATGCAAGCTAGGCGAGTGAGCTGTTCCATTATGTTGCTGATATCCAACTCCATGTATTCCATTTATTCTATGGTTGAAGTACACTTTCCACGGAAGCTCTGAATGCCTAGCTGCCTCTTCTTTCATCTCGTTAAAGTCCGGTGGGGCAATGTGTGATATAATTGGGGGGTGGGACCCTTTCTTCCTCTTCTTGTATTACTGCCCTCATTGCTGCTGGGTTGCCGGAAGCCATTGATTCCGTCAGGCTCCGTGTCAGTGGCCTCTTCTCAGGTTCTGGTGCCTCACTTGAAACCCTGTCACTACTCTTGGAAGGTAGTAAGAGCCCCGGGGCTGGGCCTGGAATTTGTGTTTGTATGGAAAGGTCTGGGCCAATTTACCTTGCATACCTTTTTTTGGAAGTTGCTCCTCCCCTGAACCTGACAGGGAGACTAGAGCTAAGGACCCCACCCAGTTTCTTGCATCAGGACCTTCTATCCCCTCCTGGGGTGGGTGAGCCCTGCTACGCAGGGAACAGCACCCGGAACAGCAAAAGGCCCAAGGCTTTCCAGTTGGTAGTGCCACCCTTTCCAAGAGTTTGAGGAGAGTGTGCAGGGGAGAGAAAGAAATCTGCACCCAACACTGTTTTGTCTGTTTGGGAGTCAGGGTAAGAGGTAAAGGAGAGTGAGTATTTTCTGACATTCCCCGATCTCTTCCCACCCAGTTGGAAAACACAGGTCCTGTTTAGGAAGCGTCCGGGCCCAGTCACCCACCAGCAAGCTTTCCTGCCATGAGGCACACTGTGCACACCTGAGTCCCAGCTGTCCATGGCCAGCTAGTGGCTGAGACTTCAGACCTGGTCCCTGGTAGGCGGGAGGCTGTGTGTCAGTGTGTGGGTTTGTGTGTTTTATATTTTCCTTTTCTCTCTTCTCTCTTTTTGTGTGCAGGTCCAATCCCATCCCCATAACACACATGATTTAGTTATTTTACATCATTCGTTATCTCGCGCCCTGAAACTGAACATAGAGCCATATATTAGATTGAGGTTAGAAGAGGTGGCGACTGTTTATTTAAGGTGATAAAATGGTCCATCAGCAGTAATCTCCATCGATATGTGCCACCAGGAGATGAAGGATGAGGGGACAAGCCACAATTAATTGCCCTATAGTTTTGTAGGAGCGAGTGGAGCCAGCCCAGACCCGCTTCGATCTCTTCCCGCGCCTCCTATTCATCATCTCCGCCTTGTGTATGGCGGCTTCGCAGGGGCAGGGCTGCACGGTTTATCTCCATGCAATATTCTCTCACCGCACACATGGGCACTCCCATTTAATTTATAAATACAGGTGTGGGGACACTAATAAAATCCACATTTCCTCTTTCCCTCTTTCTTTTCCTCCCCATTTTGTCTCTCCCTCTTGGCCCCAGGTCCAGCTGGCCGGCCCAGTCTCAGCCAGGCTGAGCTTGGAAAACCCAAGCCTCCGAGCTTGACCAGGCACTTTAAACTCGCCTCCGGAGAGCCCTCCAGTAGGTTCTGTGGCAGCTGGGCTTCCCCTGGGGCCCAGCCACAGTCGGCTCCCTTTCCCCGTGGCTGGGCTAACTCACGGCCTCCGGATCTGCTGAGGAGCCTGGGAGACCCCTGCCGGGTGGAAGGAGAGGAGGGCCTAGTAAGGGTCTCCAGATTTCCTCGGCCTTGCAAGAAAGCCCCATGCTAGTAGGAAGGGGGTGAGGCCTTCAAAATGCCCACTAGGTTAGGGGGCTCCAGCTTGCAGCCTCACTGCTCACTGCATACTTTGCCCATAACCAGTTGCTGCTGGAGGGCTGGGGGAGAGTGCTGTCTGGACGTGAACTCTGGTGCGGGAGGTTACCAGCTACTCAGCTCCGCCAGCCCTCTGTCCCTACGGCCAGCCTCCCGAAAATGCAGCGACCCTTCCCTCCATCGCCACGCCCAGAGCGCATGAGAGGCTTGCCAGCAGGCGGCACTCCTGGGCAGAGTCATCCAGCAAGGATCAATGGGTGCTGGCCCCACTGGACTGGGCTTGCAAGACTGAGGGCAGCAACCTCAGTGGTGGTTGGGGAGGATTCATAGTCCTGCAGTTACCTCTGCCTAGGCGGGCAGACTTTTCAGCTGTCTCCTTGGTTCCCTTTCCAGAGGATCAGCGAGGGCAGGGGGAGGCTGCCTGTGCCTGGTGCTTCTCAGGGGTCCTAGCTCCGCCTGCACCCACACATGCCTTTGGCCTCTCCAGACACGGGGGAAAAAAAAGCCCGAAACATTTTATATTTTACCTTTCCTAGAACAACAAATGAAAATACCTGAAACAAACAAACACCCCCATGGCCTGTTTTGCCCCCTTACCTTAAAATAGATTTATTTTCAATTACAAAAGTAATACATGCACTTGTACAAACATCCAAACAATACAAAGGCTATGAAATGAAGAGTGAAAGTCTGCTCCTCACTCCCCTTGGCCTGGCCTGCTGAAGCCAGGAGGTGAGGGAGTCTGTAACCTAGTAACACCTCATTCCCTTACTCAGAAACCCATCACAGGGGCCTTCACAGACCTATTCAAGATAGAAAAGCGAGCACGATTTCTTATATTTCTGATACTAAAATGGCATTTCAGAGTATCTTGCTTGAGGATATTATAATATCTCTCACAGTTATAGAAAACCCGTTATGAATAATAACTATGAACTTGTAGAAAGCTGACCCTGACTTTAGGAGAAAGTAAGAACCTTTATTTGCCTCCTCTTTATGAATACAAATAGGCTTATGTTATGGATTGCTTGGCATGGAATGCTGTGTAATATATGTGTGTGCGTGCGTGTGCGTGCGTGTGGTTTGGGCATCTAGCTCACTTCTCCCTCAAACCTTTTCATGTAGATGTTCATGGCTTGCTGTCTAGAAAACACTCTGCTAGAATGTTTGTCTACTTGTGCCACATTTGTCAACCCCTAGTAGTCAGTTACTTGTTTTAAACATCCTTAAGCTGCTTTGGGACTCCAAGACATAAGTCAGAAGCCAAATGTTTTCAATGACAGAGCTTGTATATTTAAAAAAAAAAAAACACCCCAAAACCCCAGTAACATTAGGATATAACAGTATTTTGCTGCAATTGGTCAACTTTTCTGACAGAATATTTTGCTAAAGCACAAAGTGGTTTATAAATTCAAAAGACTCGTGTTGGGTGGACTAGTTACAGTGGACTGGCCTTGCCTGCTCTGCCGTGGACCCAGCATGCATGTCGCCTTCTGAATATTGGGAGAGCCTCAGCTTTCACTCTGCAAAATGCTACTAAGTTTTTCAACCTCCCCTGGAGACAATGAAACTTAAGTTGAAGAGAGCTTTAGAGGATTTCTTAGAGAAAGGACTAGTGTATCATGTATAACAAATATTAAGAGTGTGCTTGTTGTCTGGCGGGGGGTGGTGGGGTGGTGGTGGTGGCGGGTTGTGGCTGAAGTTAGTACTTTAGCTCCTTATTTTATTACTGATATAGTTGGTGTGACGTTCCATGTTGTGGAGCTATTGGAACTTGACAGAATCTCTACTATGTATTGTTAGGGGAGTGAATACTAAACACTTTTGCTTCTCACCCTTTGTTTCATTGAGTCAATCAGAAAGGGACAGCCAGTTAATAAAAAACCTGGGGTGATTTATTTTATGGACATATTGCCTTTGTTTAGTCATTTGTTTTAAGCTATCTTTGCTAAGGTGCTGAAAGTCCATCTCTGAAGTTAGATACTAAAATTCAAAATTATGGGCATTATCTATTCACTTTCCAATTTATTCTCTTACTTTATCCCCAAACTCAAGAGTGTGGGAAAGAGGGAGAGAAATGTCTGTAATTTAATTAGCGATTTTGTGGCCCCCAAAGAGTGATTTCCATGAAATAATTCTATTGATTGAGTTACGAGTTTGGATATAAAATTCTCCCGGCTCTCATTAGTCTTCCTAAATCTCTACTAGTCTAGTTTTGGAGGCTTTGGAGTCAGGCAGACCTGATTGTGAATCTTTCTCTGCCAGTTTCTAGTTTCTGATCCGTAGTCAAGTTACATTGCTCAATTGCTTCATCTGCAAAATGGGAATCATGACAGTTGGATAATATGGCGATCCTTTGGGTTAAAATAGGTAGGTGCCTGGAACATAGCTGGCACTTGGTAATTATGAACTTTTGTTTTTATTCCCCCTTTATTTCGAAGTTTTTATTTTCACAGTCAGAATCTTGAGAGGGTGTGTGAAGTGCATGTGTTCTGGAAAGGTTGACATGTGGAGAAGGAGAATGCCTCCTGTCTAGGCCCTAAGGCAGCGGTTCTCGAACGACCCTTTCACAGGGGTCGCCTGAGACCATCGGAAAACACATATATAATTACATATTGTTTTTGTGATTAATCACTATGCTTTAATTATGTTCAATTTGTAACAATGAAATTGGGGGTCACCACAACATGAGGAACTGTATTAAAGGGTCACAGCATTAGGAAGGTTGAGAACCACTGCCCTAAGGTCAAAAGCAGAGCTGGACACCGTCGTTTTACATTAGTCTATGTTGCTGGAAGAGGGGGCCTTTGTGTGATGGAGGTCCAGTGGTATGGACACATCATACCTGCAGAAACAGGTTGTTGTTTTTCACTTGAGAGGCCCGGGGACACCTCCAAGAAGCTGCACTCAGAGGTCCCCTTATTCCCTGGGCTCTCTGGGGAGGAGTGGAGTAGCTGAACAAGGAGAAGCAGAGCTGACTGGAACCTTTCGCTGAGAGAGGATGCTCACATAGTCAACAGGTCAACCCTCGGCTAGCTGTGAAGCCAGTGGCAAAACCAGGGTTCACTCCATGCTGGGGTTGATGAGGTTCCTTCATTGAAGACTCTTCAGTGACTCACTTTGCCACAAGTTCCTTGAGCGTTTTTGTCTGTTTCAGCATGAAGAGGGCACACCCTGTGTGATCCATCAGGACTGGCTGCGACCAAGGCCCAGCACAGAGAAGCCCCAAGGGCCACCTCCCCCCCAGAAGCGTTCCCCTGTGGGCACTGGCTCAACATCAGGCCCAGTGCCACAGGCTCCAGGGCTGGGGGCGCCTCTGCTCCCCAGGGAGGCTGGGCCAGGGAGGGCGGGCTTCACCAGCGGGCGCCTAGGCTGTCTCCCCGAGGCAGGTCTGCTGGGCTAGGGCGCAGACACGGCGGCTCCGCCAGGCCCATTAATAACCCCGAGGGCGCTGCGATCCGACAGCGCGGTTGCCGCAGGCCCTGCTCCCCGCGGCCGCCCGGCCTCTTCCCTCGAGTTTGAGTGGAAGCACACTGGGTGTCTATAGCCCGGCCCCCAGGGTGGGGGTCCCTTTGCGCTTTGGCTGCTTTGGGGAACATCGGAGAGAGACAGCTTCACAACAACTCCAGTTTGTAAGGCAGGATGATAGCCTTTAGCCTGAGGCCTCCGCCGTCTGGGCAGGAGTTGGGGCCCTCTCCATGGAACCTGTATTCTGATCATTAAAGACCCATTGCCCCGATCGTTAAATTTGCTATTTGTTTCTTCTTGGCTTCTGGGAAGAGCTGGCACGCACGCATGGACTCCCCTAACCCGCCGGAACAGCCTTCCTCTCCCCATCGGTGCACGCCCGCGTGGCTGCAGCGCGGAGAGTGGGCACTGCCGGGCGCTGAGGGATCCCGCGCTCCCCGGTGTCTGGGGCTCGGGCTGTGCCCTCTGGGGCGCTGGAGTGGGGGCGTGGGGCCAGAGGAGTGGGAATGGCCTGCCCACCCGCCCTGGTGATTTTTAAAGTGTCTTCTCTAATTGTAAAAAGAGGCGACCCATGTAGAATCTCTCCTAGATACCAAATTGGCCAGAGACGGGCGTTCTGTCTTGGGCTTTCTTCCTGATACAGTAAACACCTGATGGAGAGAGAACTCGCGGGAACCGGGAGGGTCGGAGGGAACTGGAGCAGAGGGGAGAGGGAGAGCTAGAAGCCGCGAGGAGAAGCTGCGAACCGTCGGTTCAGCGGACACCACGCCACCCACACCCAGCTCGGAAGGCATTTGGGGGCGCCCGGGGTTCTGACCCGGTACCAGGCGGATTTGGGTTCAGCGAATTCCAAGGGAGAGATTTGGGTTCACCTCTCCCGCGACTCCCAGTAGCCTCAGCGCCCTCCCGCCTTCACCTCCCTGCAGGTGGCTCCCGGGGGTGGGGATGCATTTGTCTCGGGAAGTTACCGGAGGGTGGGCCACTGAGCTGCCGAGTTAACCTCTGCCTTCCCTCCCTCCCGGTATCCCCGGCAGGTTGCGACATGTGCGCGGACAACCGCCACGGAGAGTGCCCCATGCACGGGCCGCTGCACTCGCTGCGCCGGCTGGTGAGCACGGGCAGCGCCGCGGCTGCCGCGCCCCCGCCGGAGATGCCCGAGTGGCTGCGGGACCTGCCGCGCGAGGTGTGCCTGTGCACCAGCACCGTGCCCGGCCTGGCCTACGGCATCTGCGCGGCGCAGAGGATCCAGCAGGGCACCTGGATCGGGCCCTTCCAGGGCGTACTCCTGCCCCCAGAGAAGGTGCAGGCCGGCGCCGTGAGAAACACGCAGCATCTCTGGGAGGTAAGTCGCCCGCCGCCTCGCGGAGCCAGAGTTTTGGGCCGCCGAGAGCCTGGCCCTTGGAGGGTGGCAACTTCGGGGAGAGCTTCCCTTGTTTCCTAGAGAGTAATAGTGGAGAACAGATTTCTGTGGTCATGCAAATGCCTGGTGTCTGCACCATCTGCTGTAAAGACCTGACACAAAGGCAACCGAGCCAGGGACACAGGGCCTGCAGGTTTCCGACGGTGGAATCCCTTAAGGAGCCTCTGTTGCAGCTGAGATGGATTTGGTCTTTGATATCCTGGCTTCTTGAGAGAAAGAGAAACCACCTGAGGAGATGGAGCAGAGAGCTCCGGCCTTGGGGGTGTGAGCTGGGTGAACTTTTTGTCCCATTCTAAGCTCTTCCAGTATGTTTTTGTGGACTGGGCGAAAAGGAACATAGCATAAATAGGAGGAAAGAGTCAAGCCCATTTTGTCAGATAAAAACAATTTTGTAAACACCGAATCTGAGAGACTGCAACATGTTTCATTCATAACTTTCAAAGTTCCCGCAGTAAGCAAATTATAGCGCCCTGAATCAGAAATCACAAGTTCTGGTTCTTCTCTGTTGTCCTTTGCAGTATGGCAATAACAGTCTTCGAGAAAATCAAAAATCAAAACACGGGCACACTTTGCGACAATAACCCAGTTGAAGACAATGTTTCAATAGCACAATCTTATCTGACACTATTACTTAAAAATAAACCACCTCTTTGAAAAATGTTAACCAGAGCTTTCTCCCAGAGCTTCATGGTTGACGATTGAGATCCACTCCCGCAGAGACAGACCCTTAGCCTGTAGGTAATGCCCCCACTAGCTAGCCACCTCCCACCCTTGGAGTTATTTATGAAATACAAGATGCTAGAAGTCTTACTCTTAAGGGTAAGACTTCTAGCATCTTGCCTGACCGAGGCCAGGCAATATAATGGAGTGGGAATAGCCGGAAAAGAAAGTTTCTGAAATGTCAGCAGCCAAGTTGGCATGGACATTGGGGCTCCATTAATGGGTCATTTCTACAGCAGCTTGCCCCTCACATTTGGCTCAGTGGCCAGTCAAGATGATTATTTGCACTGTGAGCTGCCTCATATTCACTAACTAAAACTCATGGGACTCAGTAACCCAGTCATATTTTTGGCGAGCACTCATTCTGCCCAGCATTGTGTTACGCCCTGGAGATACAGTGTTGTGCAAAGCAGACCCAGCCTCCAGAACCCTTACATGACTGCTGGCAATGGGATGTTGAGGCCTGTGTCCCAAAGCTCCCTTTGATGAGGGAGGAGCTAAGAGTATGAGCTCACAGCCCAACACCCCAAGATGATCAAATAGGGAATATGGTTACATACTCTATAGGGCAAGCATGTCAAACTCGCGGGCTGCAGGCCCCATTTATTTAAACAAGGCCTGCGAGCCGCGAGTTTGACATGCTTGCATAGGGTATGAGCTAAGTTTCCTACAGTTATCTGCTGATGCCCTGAGCCTGGCTTCCAGGTTTCATTTCACTCCTAAAGTGAAATTTAGTCCTTCTGCATAAGATTCTTGAATGAGGAAAAAAAAAAAAAAAAGTTGGGCATATTTATTTTACCAAATAGTGCTTTTTCTCTTTTTAACAGAAATTTTTATAGGAAAAGAAGGCAGGCGAAAATGGCTTGGTATGGTACAGAGAGGCAGGTTAGAAGTTAGAGCTTTTGGATAGAAAAAAAATGACAAGTGGGAAATAATCAAAGCGTCTAGTTTCAAAATATTTCCCAGTTGTTTTTTGTTTCTGACTAATTAATTGTAACCTCCAATGTGGTTTAAAGTTTATAAAACACTTGTAGTCAGTTTTCATGTTCCAGTGGTGTTATTAGGAACTCTAACGCCATACAGTTAAAGATCTGCCAATACTTTTCTGAGGAAATTATGAAGCAGTTGTTCAGTGGTACAGATTTGCTCTATCTGAAACTGTTAAAAGTGAACATTATTGCTCTTTGATGACTTGGGATTAAAGTGCCAGGGGACAAATCCATAAACATGAAAAAAGAAATCCTATAGTTTTAAGTTGTGTTTTTTTTTCCTAAATGGCTGTGGATGATTGGGATGTTGTCAGGAGACCACTATGCATATAGAACATGGTTGATATATAATAAACTAAAAACATGGAGCCTTTCTTTTATTGCCTTTACTTGTTCTTGATGAAGTTTAAATTCTGTTTTAGTAAAGAGAATGGGAAATTTAATTAGGTTTTGTTGTTGTTGATACTTCAATAGACATAAAGTGAGTTTTACCTGTTGTTTGTGTGAGTTGAGTGTGTTGGAGGTAGTGGTGCATAGAAGTGGTTCTGTGTTATAAAAATGAGTTGCTTGGTGTATGCATTAATGATCTACAAGTCCCTTCTCCCAATTCAGGACAGTCTATCTGTTTTTATCATCTGTAGGAACAGTTAGAATAACACATGTTTAGGAGATTGAAGGGATATTAAATGCAGCCATGAAAATGTATCAGTCTCCTGAGGGATCATGTAAAATATAACTGACTGGGGCCAGGGAACTTAGAGTCGATGGCTATTGGTAAGAAAAAGCACTGTAATAGGTTTCAGATTTTTATTAGTATCATTTATTTTTAAGCATTATGATTTATTATTTTTATGAAATGTGACTATTTGAATTAAGTTATATTTATAACAGAAGATTCTAAATGTTGGATTGTTCCTTAAATTTTATTCTTTCCTTTCAAACCTTAATTCAATTGTGAAAATTTTTAATCATTTTATTATTTATATTTAGAAAGAATCGGTAATTGGAATACACTGTAGGTCTATAGGAAATTTTGGCAATAATTATTTAGTGACTCATGTAAAAATTATCCATTTTAAAAACACACTCTTTTAGATATCTTCCAGAATATCGCATTGACATAAAGCAGATCTTTAAAAAAATTAAAAGCAGTTGAATCATGACTATTATATTTTAAAAGTCAACTGGAATCGTTTTTCTTTCTCACATTTTTTTTCAAGTCACTTGCTGATGAAGAAATGTCTTTATATTTAGAGTTCAATACTCAGGTCCTGATGGATCTTACCAGGGTTACTTATCTTTATTTCAGTACAATAAATGGATTGCTAATCTTTTCCCGTCACTGTTTCCAAGTAGATGATGGATTTTTGTTTCAGTTTACAGTTCATTGTTTTTAGTATGGTTGTACTTTATTATACACATGAAGGCTTATTAGAGAAAACATCAGATTCACCTTAGTTATTCCTTTTGTTTAATAATTAAAAGCTATATTTTCTTTGTAGAAAAATGACTTTTTAATATTTAACATACATCAGCTATGGAGAGCTTGTTTGATGGGTTTGTAAGTGTGCTATCATCTTTGTATATAATCCTGGTTCTTAAGAATATAGCACTTTAAAGAAAGTTCAATATCATTCTATTACCTTAAATATGTTTTGACTCTTTTGAGTGTTTATAGGAAGTTCTAAGAGTTTTTCTTTTCTTTTCTTTTTTTTAGCAATAAATGATAGTAATTTTTTGTAATTTAAGGAGATTAATAAGCTAAAAGCCAAAGTATTAATCTCTTTTTGGCCAATTTCTTTTAAAATCAGAATTTTAATATGCACTACAAGAAATAATAAATTCAGATTGTTTAAAACAAAAACACTACAGGATGGATTAAATAATCACTTGCCTTGCTTACATACATTTATTCCAACAAGACTTGAAAGCATGATATATTTCTAGCCCTTTGGATGTAATGGGAAAAATCTTTCTGAATGTTTTGCAAAGAAAACATAGTCTTTCTCAGCAATTAGGTCTTATTGATGAGAGTGAGATAATTTTATCCTAATGTGTTTTCTAATAAAGAAGTGAAAAGGCACATTTGATTCCAACATTTATGAAAACATTATCTCAATTATTAATGTGCTCTTTTCCCTTGAGATAAATTAATCTAGTTGCACATGGTTTCCCCTTTCTGTTTAACATCAGAATTTAATATGGCTGGACCTGAGGAATGTACACAGTGTATACTTAAAATTCTACTGGAATAAAATACAGAAGTTTAAAATAGTTACAGTTTAAGATAGGCCAGAATTACTCAGGCCTTTCAATTCAAAGTCTTATTTGACAAGAAATTTTAGCAATGATGACAAAATAAATTGTACCTAAAAAAATTATTCTGGTAATTGAAATAATGTAGTGACTTGTTAGGATTAAAGTCAAGGTACTAGAAAGGGATTTAATTTTACAGAACCTGTTTTCCCTTTGCCTGAGTAAATTTGAGTGTCTCATTTTCACTTTACTATGTGGACATTTTCATTATTTTTCTTCAGAAAATCAAAAGGGATAACATAATGTGGTTCTCTTTGTGGTTTGATGTTGTGCCATAATATTTTAGATTTAATAAGAGTTTTGCTTTTAAGCAAATGGTCTATTTTTCATCATTAACATTTAAGTTAGGTCAAAAGACTTTAATGAAAACCAATATTAAAAATATATTACACATTGCTGCATGTTTATATTTCAAAACCATCATAGGTAATTGGTACTAAAAGGAAATGAATTGATTTTATATTTTAAATGTATTTTATGTTTCTATAAATGACCCAATTCCATTTATAGTACTGTACCCATTTGTATGGATTTAGATGTTGAAAATTAATAATTTAAAATTAATTATTTTAAGTTAAAATAATTTTAAAATCAAGTTAAAATCATTTAAAAATTGTTCCAGTGATAGTACTGTAATTATATACTCCATATTTTGCTTTATAGATTTGGCTCAATTTGGCTTGACTCATCAAAACACCAGGGGATAGAATTATGTGGCTGTCACAGTTATATTGAAGTAAAAATTGTGTTTCTCAGTAATTTATCATTTAATACACTAGACTGCTTGTCAGCTTGGTTTTGAATGTGTCAGTTTTATGAAATCCAAATAATTTCTCTTTAAAAATAAACCATAGTAATGTTACTACTATGTTTTAAATTATGCAGGGTAACAGCTGGTATATCTCTTTGGTTTTGCCTCATTTGATTTGAAGATGTCTTTTACAGTGGTGCCCATTTGATAGAGTGTGAGCATTTTGTAGTTTTACATAAACTGTAAAACCATCTGCCGCCTGTTGGAATCATTTCCAGCATTGTGTTAAAAATCAAAACTTAGTACTTAAAATTGGCTTTGAAAAGATCCATGTAAAGTCTCGTTCCTTTTAACTTATGCATCCCCCTGGACAGTGCCACCTTGGTTTTCTAAGTCCCAAAACGACCCTGCTTAAAAAAAAAAAAAAATTATAACAGCCATTTGGAAATTCTCATGCTAGTGAGGTTTCATCCAGATATGCACGTGACGCTACAGTGCATTAGTTGCAAATGCTTTATAAAGAGTAATATGTTCTGTATCTCATTAGTCAGTTCACTTTATCTATTGTTTACAGATTTCTTCTTTTATTGATAGCATTTATCCACGTAAAGAAAATAATTCAAAAGTATTTCTTGACTGCATATTTTCTTACAGCATATAATTAAAAACAAATTTTTTTTTCACACTGACTTAAAAGTGGGGTAGAGAAATTCAAATCAGAATCTCAGACGTTCCTGGATCCCCCGCCCCCCGTGACTGCATGGCAGCAAGCGATCTGGTGAAAATGTGATTATGGCAACACTGG